GAAGAAGAAGAAGAAGAAGAAGAAGAAGAAGAAGAAGAAGAAGAAGAAGAAGATGATGATGATGATGATGATGGTAGATCTAGTCTCGTGGTAATAGAGACGGGGGAGAGGCATTTCAACAAAAAGCTGGCTTGCTGGCTAGCTGGCTACTGCCCTTTCTACCTGCTGATAGTTTTCTATCACCAGCCTTTTTATTAATACACCAGTCATAGCCATACCGTTGTAGTTGTCACTTCATAGAGTGACCACTGTCACTGGGGCTAGGTATGCATCAAAGGATAGAAAGCTAAGGATGGAAGGTGTATGTGTTCAACGCCCCCTCCAACAGTGTTGCTAGGTAGGTGCTCTTAAGATAAGTAGCCTCCCCAATTTGACCAAAGTTAACGGAGGGCCACAAAATGTCACCAAATCCAAGTTCAAAGTGAACTTAAGGGTCTTCGGAATTCGGGTTTTTCAAATGTTATTTTTGTAGATCTCGGCCTAATCAAAGCTACGCCTGAATTAAAGAACAACAACAAAAAGCAAACAAACAAACAAACAAACAAAATAAAACAATACTTCGAGACCAGATCTGGATAAATATCTAGATATATAGATATCTAGAATCTAGAATCTAGATCTAGATCTTGTAGATTCTAAACATTTAGTTTCTAGATTTTAGATCTAGATCTAAGCATGATTAGGAAAGTCTTTTACTTATTGATAGATTATAGATCTAAACCAAAAGGCCTAATCTTGAATTAAATTATTGACAACAGTTCCCACAACATTAACATTAAGAAGGCAATTAAGGAGGGAAGGACACAAACAATTGACACGTTAAGGCACCTACCACAAAATCTGTATGTTTTTACTCCAATCTTCGCTATCAAAGTAGGCCTTGATCAAGATATAGATCTAGATCTAGATATAGATTTAGATCTAGATTCTAGATGTAGATTCTAGGCTATAATTATAAGGGAGCAGTCCTTGCCTTGTTTGGAACCAAAAAAAGGAGCCAGTAGTCAAAACTGAAATCCAAACTCGCAGATGAATTCACAAACAGTACACAGTCGAGCCTGATGAACATGGAACAACTGGCCGTGTACGAAAAACAACAAAACCTTGCCGTGCAGATAAACGACGGTACACAGTCAACAGTGACAGAATTGCATTAGCAGATCTATCACACAAGCCGAAAGTCCCCCCTCTCAGACCCTGTGACTTTCGGCAACTGTGTCGACTTTTGGGGCGCACCTCCAGCAAGCCCACTACACACACACTGAACACACCACAGAGGGGAGGCCTTCTGACTGGTCTGCTAGAAATTTACACCCAACACACGGGGGCTTGTGGGGCGTCTATCAACTGAACACAGTGTCGCGCTGTCGCGTCTCGCCCGTTG